AACCAGTGCCCCTGAGAAGACAGAAAAGAAACCTGTTGATTGTGAGCAGCTATCTTCTGCCTCAAAATTATGAATGTTCCTCTCACCTGTTAACAATTCATGAAACATTCTCACTGTGAAAGGGCTGCAAATGGTAAGAGGGCTGTACATGTGTGGATCATTGTCCATCACTCATCCCTCTCAGGTACATAAATCAAGCACAGTGTGTACAGGACAGCAACACAAGTTGCCATGAAATTCTGCTTACAGAGGACTAACTGATGCTCAATTACCCAATATTACTTACATTCATTTTACAGGAAATCTCTAAAGGTTATAGTCTTTGCCACAGTTATTGCTGCAGTTGGAAGCAAGGCCTTTCCCTGCCATTTCACACCCTCTGAGAGAGAGCAAAGCCTGTGTCACAAGCATAGCCAAGGAATCTTGCCTCAAGTTAGTCATTGTTGTTGGTAATTTAATAACCCCAATGCCTTTATTTGCATTAATCCGTCAGACATTCATCTGGTATGACTGTAAGAGTCATCATGATGAATGAAGTGACCATCTGGGGACTGCAGGTTCATATGCTGTATGCCCTAACATCACTGCCTGGGGTATATCAGCAGCTTTTCCCCAAGCAACCGGTCTGAATATGCCATATGCCCTCACATCACTGCCTGGGATACACCAGCAGCTTTTCCCCAAGCAACCATTAACTCCAGGAAAACCACAGTGATATGAGTGTTGGCCTGAGCATTGCATTACAGGGCCAATACACTATATTTAGAGCGTTTGCCAGTGTTCCTTGTTGAAAGCCTGCAAGAAGACAATATGCTATTTAAGCCCTATATGTACCGATTTGCTCTCTAGGTACTTGTATGCCCTAAATCCTTCCAGGGTGCTGGGATAGTTAACTATAAATTAGCAGGATTCAAAGTATCAGTGACAGATTAAAGATCCCTGTAGAGACATTTGGGGAAGGGATCTTGAGGCCAGCTGAAAGGTAACAGTAGTAATCAGGGAGTGGGATGATGAGACCCACTATATGAGTCTTGGCTTGTGAGGCTGGGTAGGAAAACCAGCACTCCCTGATTGTTATGACTCAGTAAGGGGGATGGTAGATACAGGCAATTTACTACCAGGAAAATTTAACAGGCACAGTCGCATTTAATGTAAGCAACAGAAACTAGACCCAAAACCAAGAAAATTATGAATGTTCTCATGCTACTATCAACTCATTTGCAAAGGCTAAGCTGTAACCCACTAAGATGGCCACTTCCCCTTTAGAAGTAATAGGTGTTCCCTCCTTATTTAGCTCATGCCCACAGCCATTAAATTTGTTTCAAGATGCTGGGCCTTTCCCTCTTCCCTACAGTGGCCAAAAGCACTGTTCATTGCCAGTTAATGGTGACAGATTTTGCATTTTGTAACCACACAGTGAAGCTGTATCAGCAGAGAAAATACTGCTGGGGCAAGCTAGCAAACCGCTGCCTTACATGCCAAGTAGGTATTTACTTCTCCCAAGCAAAGTGTCCGTGGGAAAGGTTGCCCAGGGCTGTCCTTTCTGTATCTTGTAAATGCCAAACAAGCTGAAAAAGGGAACCTCTCACCTTGTTTGTCTTGTTCTCCACCCAACTCAAGCAAAACAGTTTCTTGCTAACTTAATTACCAGACTTTCTTCTCGTCCATCTATAACTTAAAAAGTATTTTATACAATTGCCAATGCTCCCATTTAAATTTTATCCTTTCTGACTTCCAACTCAGTGTGACTCTCAGAAGGCTGCTAAGCCTCTAAGTAGGCAACTCCTCAGCCTTCTGTTATTGCTGCCCTTGTCAGCACCATCATTCTCATACACAACCTTCCTCAGGTATCTTCATCTCCTCATCTTGAGACAACTGTTTGACTCAAATGGTTTGAGGTAGCTAACACTGCTTCTTTGTGTTCCTAGGACTACCTGTGTCCATCTATTTCAGTTTTCTCTTTGCAGTCAATGTGAATAGCTTTCAGACAGTAGCTGGGCTAGCATCCAGCATAGCTGGGCATTCTTCACAACTTAGTGCTTCTAGGTGATGCAGCAACAATAACATCATTGTGATAGCAAAACTACTACTACTGCTGCTATTGCTACTACTACTACTGTGAAGAACCAGGATCACACGTTCCAGTGGCTACTGTCTGAGCAATTGTATTGGGCTTGTGTGAAAAGGTTTTGGTAGCAGGGGTCTACAGGGGTGGCTTCTGTGAGAAGCTGTCAGAAGCTTCTCCCATGTCTGACAAAGCCAGTGCTGGATGGCTCCAAGACAGGCCCACTGATGACCAAGGCTGCGCCCATCAGCGACAGTGGTAGTGCTTCTGTGAGAACATATTTGAGAAGGGGGAAAAGTAAACAGCAACTGCAGCTGGAGAGAGGACTTAAAATATGAGAGAGCAACAGCCCTGCAGACACCAAGGTCAGTGAAGAAGGAGGGGAGGAGGTGCTCCACATCTGGAGCAGATTCCCCTGCAGCCTGTGGTGCATCCTATAGTGAGGCAGGCTGTGCCCCTGCAGCCCACGGAGGATCCACACTGGAGCAGGCGGATGCTCAAAGGAGCCTGTGACTCTTGTGGGAAGCCTGTGCTGGAGCAGGCTCCTGTCAGGACCTGTGGTCCCATGGAGAAAGGAGCCCACTCTGGAGCAGGTTTGTGGCAGGACTTGTGAAGCTGAGGGGGACCCGCGCTGGAGCAGTCTGTTCCTGAAGGGCTGCACCCCATGGAAGGCACCAACGCCGAAGCAGTTCATGGGGGACTGTCTCCTGTGGGAAGGACTAAAGCTGGAGAAGTTGATGAAGAATGGTCTCTTGTTCGCGGGACCCCGTGCTGGAGCTGGGGAACAGCGTGAGGAATCCTCCAGAGGACAAAGGAGCAGCAGAGACAACATGAGATGAGCTGACTGCAAAACCCCCTGTGCCACTGAGAGAGAGGAGGGAGAGAATTTGGGAGTAAAGTTACTTAGGAAGGAGGGAGGGATGAGGGGAAGGTGTTTTTGAGATTTGGGTTTATTTCTCATTACCCTACTCTGATTTGATTTGCAATAAATTAAACTAATTTCCCCAAGTCTGTTTTGCCTGTGATGGTAATTGCTGAATGATGTCTCCTTGTCCTTATCTTGACCTGTGAGCCTTCTGTTTTATTTTCTCTCTTCTGTCCAGTTGAGGAGGGCAGTAACAGAGCAGCTTTTGGCAGACATTTAAATCATTTACCTGTATGTGGAAGATAAAAAATAAGCCTGTAGCTCTGTATTCTTTCTTAAGTTTCTGTCTCAGCTGTTGGCGTTTTCCGTGCTCCTTCACACTGCCCCTCCTCTTTGCTTTTTTCTATTTCAAGTTTGGCTTATTTATAAAAGAGAAAACATCATGCAAATTATTACAAGACTGTACAGCCCCACGGCTGGCTCCAGTGGGTGGATAAAGGAGGCTGGCAATATGTAACACCAGTTCTAATTCCCCAGCATCTGCTCAGTATCTATAGATATGACTACTGTTGTGGTCTAACACATGAATGGCAGTCAGTCCCGTGTCTGTTCTCAAGAGAAAGTATTTTTAATAGCAGCAACACTGAAATTAGAAGTACGTCATATACACAGCTCAGCATGCATACTAAAAGCTGACTTTTATGGGGCCAAACAGCCGATACAAAACCAGCCGAAGCCAGAAGACGGGTGGGTGATTGTCACATACACACCCCACAGCTGCTGCGGCTTCGGCAGGGAAGTCGGAGCGTGTGCGGGGTGCCTGTCGGCTAGCAGCGACGGGCAGTTTGCAGTCTCGTGTTTCCTGGGGGATACACCGCTTTCCCATGCAGCACATAACGTTTCGATAGGAACGGCATAACCGTAACCGCCCCACGCTGTTTCGAAAGGACGTTACTGTTACGCATCATCATTAACACGTGGGGCCACCGCCGCCGCATTCCCACCGCGGCTGTTTCCCGACGCACCGACGGCGCTCCCGGCTGAGCCACCGCCGGGCCGAACCCCCGGCCGCTGCCGGGCTTGCCTCCGCTGCGGGCGCGCTGCCCCGCCGCCACCCCCCCCCCGAGCATTACAGGTCCCGCGCTCTGGACACCGCCCGCGGAGGCTCCCCACGCTCACGGCCCGAGCGGAGCGGGACGCTGCGCGGACATCGGCAGCCATCTCCCGCGACCGCCACCTGCCGCCGACTTCGGGCCTCGACCCGGCCCCGCGGTGCTCGGAGCCGGAGGACGGGAGGGGTGGCGCAGGGGCTGACAGCCGGAGGCGCAAGCAGCCAGCTTACTGTTCACAGCCATGGTGCTGCTGTGACTGGGAAATCAGTGCGGGGACACAAATACAGGATCGTTCTCCCGGTGTGCAATAAGCCAATCTCACACACCGAGTCGAGATATTAACTCCTATTTGCCACAGATGGGCGCTAAGGGAAAGTTCCACAAAGGGAGCACACCCTCAATCTCACAGCTATACAATTTTATACATTTCAAAGTGAAAATCAGCATTTTCCACCCATCTACAATCATTGGCTCTTGCATTCTCCAGTCTCCGTTTAGACACAGTACATATTTAATTCACTACATACATCCCATAAAGATCTCTGTGGGCAAAGGTCTCTTATTTCAGAGGGCATGATCTTTAGTATTATAATGAACCAAGTTCCTTGAGGGACACGGTTATGTTTTGCTTAGCTTTTCAAAATTACTTCTGTATTTCAACCTTGGGTTCCTTCCTAATCTTTGTGAAGTTAGTTGAGTCTTAGTGAACCACTTCTGATCCATGTGGTTCACTTATCAGCCATCTACTTCTCCTCAAGGCCTACAAGCTTAATAAGCAAACATTGTTTTTCAGGCTCAAGATTTTCAAGATTTCATACACACAGTCCTTTATGAAATCTTTTTCAGTGCCAGGTAACAGCTTGCAGCTTAGAGTAAGCACCCAAGGTCCAGGGTGAAAGGAAAGTAAGGAGTATTTTTCTCAGTTCCCATTTATATAGATCACAACACGATGAAAAAATACAACTAAGGCAAAACTTTATTATTTTTTTTGGTAGAAAGAAAAATGAAGCAGTCTTATAATTAAGCAGCATTTTCTAGGTTTCTTCTGCAGCAGAACCTTGATCAAGCCTCATTAAACTGATAGTCTTATTCAGTGCATCATGTATTCAAGTAAAGCAAATGAGTTTACAAGTGGCTATTTGGAATATTTCTTCAGACCATGGCCCATTAACAGGGGGTTAACAGCCACTGCTATCTTTACTCACCTACTTCTTAAACTGCATCAATCATACCAAACCTTTTTCCAGTTGGTACCCCACTGATTTTTAACCTTCCACCATCTCAAGTATCAGTGAAACTTCTGCATTTTTGTCAGTTCCACAACTCGGTTCTTCAATGCTGGCACCTAGTTCAGAAATTGCTGTTCTAGCCCAAATAACTTTAAATTATTATACATTTGAAGGTCAGTACAACATACACATACACCTTCACATTACACTTGCCTGTTAGGCAAATGCAGTATTACAGTATTAATTTTACTTGCACTTAGGTAAAAGCAGAACTCTACCTGTCTGCAAAGCAAGAGATTTTGAACAATATTGAGAATTACACATATACATTCCTTCTGTAGTCTCATACTAGGTATATGCATACACAATTTAAGCAATGAAATGGTTTTTAAGCTTGTTCTTTGTACAGGACACTTGTTACACGCCCTTAGAGTCTACATAATAGTGCTTTAATAGTCATTTGTTAAAATCCAAACCAGCCTTACAGTAGCTGTTAGGTAGTTACCAGTCTCTTCCAAGGACATGCAGTAACAAAGAAAAAATTCTAACTTTAAGCAGCATCTGAGGAAACTACTTAATGCAGCTGCCACTTAGTGTCAGCTATCATTTAGGCATTTTTGGTGTTGATACATCTATTTATAATTTGTGCATTAATCAACAAAAACATAGGCCCCAATCCAGCAAATACTTGTGTTGTGTGCAAATGCTTTTCTTCCGTGTGGAATATTTCAAGTTAAGACTCATCAGATGAGCAAAGTTAGAACTTGCATAAATCTACACAGGAAGAGAATTCTAAGTGCTTAAAACCTAACTGTATGATTTCATAGGACCAAGATCCAATTCTAGACTTAGAGAATGTAGAAAACACTCCTATAAAGAGCAGACACATTGCTTTAGGATAAATGCTTTCAAAGCAAACAAGACCCCTAGAAACGTCTGTGCCTTCTCTCCAAACACTAATCTTATTTGGAGTAATGTGGGTCCAGTCTTACTGCCCTAGCTCCTGGATACTGCATGAGGAATCAATAAAGTGCTTGTCACAAACGGCGCAGTTGTGGAATAATATCAAATTTAAGTACCTTCAGAATGTTTTCAGATTCATAAACTATGAATTAAGGGCTCATGCCTGATCCCCAGCATGTATCCCTGAACTGATAATAAGTATTATGTTCTTAATTCTGAAAATAAATTAGAATTCTGCTAGGACTAGGTGTATCTCACCTTTGTCCTACTGAAGCCATCCTCTGTCTCCAGGGAAAAAGCTTTACTGGATTTAATTTCAATGTAAATGTTCATGCTTGACCGAAACATGATGCTCATGCAATTTCATAAGGAGCAGCAGTGTGACAGCTTTGCTTAATCAAACACGAAGCACCAGTACTGTTTACAGTATAACCTCTCTGAACTGTGTTCATAATTTGTTCCCAAATGCATTGCAATCCTATGAGGTCTTGCTTATCTTTGACCTTTCCTTTGATCTGATGTGTTTTGCTCCTCTTGGATAAAGTATATAGCTTTGATATAAATTGTATTGATCTTTGTGGCTCCTTCTCATTACCATATATTATTAAAACTTTCTGTTTAGATAAATACATATATATATATTTTAAATTTTTTGCTAGCTTTCAGATGATTAATCTATGAGAACTGGCTTAGACTGTATGCCCTCTGTAGAGAACTTCTGTCTGTTCCTCATACAAAAACAAATAATGGTTTGAAATATTTAGCCGTGTGTTTGGATGATTTTTTTTTTTTTGTTTTTGTTTGTTTTAAAGGCTTCGGTGTTGCTTGTGTTTATCTTCTACTCAGCTACAGGATAATAGCAACAGCAAACACATTGACAATGCAGTTCATTGTTCGGTTTTCCCATCTCACTGTGCACGTTCCTAAAAAAGATTATTACAAAATGAAAACAGAATTCCAGTGTCTCTACTACATTCACTTTATCACATTGTAATTATGTCCAATTAGCATGACAGCTGTGACCTAAGGTAAGTACTATAATGTTATCTTGGCTATATATAGACTACACTCCTCAAAACATTTTCATTAACTTGTACATTGTTTACTACCTAACATGAGCCTTGTCTGCTGAAGAGAGTTTCCAGGAAAACACAATTTTGGTATCTCTCTGGACTTGCAAAAACCTTGAAAATCTCATACTGAAACTGGCAAGATACTCTATTTAACTTCATTTTATGTTGGTTTTGGATTTTTTTATTTTAACCTTGGTTGACTTTCTGAAGCCATCTCTAACTTAAAGGTAAATCTTGATGCCCTCTTCTGAAAATACCTTTCTGAGTCTGTGACAGACATAAGGTTATTTTGATCTTGTTTCCCCATGATACTCTGAACCTGGGAAAAAATGCCTTAAGACCTAATTTGGAAGCAATAAAACATGTTTCTTACCAAGTTCTGTCCTCCTCCAAAGTAGTGCTGTCCCCCTCACAGCAGAAAGGCAGGTATGTTTAGGACTACTCACTTGCATTTACTGTGATCAACATTTTACTGCCTCTTCAATTGATCTTGGTTACTGATGAGGATTCAATGTTTTGACTCTTGTTTCAGAATGAAGACATTTCTACTCCCACTTCTCATAATTTATACAGCAATTGCTCTTAATGCAGGCACTGACTGCTAACAAAATACTTCTGCTGGGACTGTAAACAAGCGTCTAATTCTGGAAGCTACTGCTTCTACAAACGCTCCTGAAAATGTTCAAACCAACTATTACTACTGAGCAATAAGTAACATTTCTTTTAGTATAGATTTTTAGTTTGAGTGAGGAAACTTACCATCAGTTGTAGTATCCCAGAAGCATGAGCTTGCTGTGTGAAGACCAGCTCCACTCCTCTGCATCACTGCACAAGTTACTGCAAGACACAATCATAAAATCAAGGATTTGATTATTAAAGCAGAAGGGGGGAACCATTTAGTAGTTCTGAACTCAAGCCTGCATTACGTGTTCAAATGGCTGGCAAGTGGCATCCAGCTAAGTCAAAACCTTTTTTGACAAACTCCTTACCCCCAGTATTTTCCTCAAGAACTTGGTATTCATTTCATGATTATTTTTACTCACATAAAGACAGTGGCTTTAAAAAAATGCTTGGTAAGAGGATTATGGGTTTTATCTTTTAAACTACTTAGATATGGCTTGTGTCATGTTGTTCTGGTTTAAGCCCAGCCAGCAAATAAGTACCACACAGCCACTCGTTCACTCACTCTTCACCTCCACAGTGGAACGGGGAAGAGAACTGGAAAAACATAAAAAACCATGGGTTGGGATAAGAACAGTTAAGTAATTTGAATGAATGTAAAAATATAATACTACAATAATATTATTATTAATAATAATAAAAAAATGAAAAAGGGAGGGAGGGGGAGAGAGAGAGTGAGAGGAATAACCACCCCCCTAAGAAAAAAAAAACAAACACAAAACCCAAACAAGTGATGCACAATACAATTGCTTGCCATCTACTGACCAATGCCCAGCTGCCTCCAAGCAGTGACTGGCATCTCCCGGCCAACTCTCCCTCATTTCTGTACTGAGTGTGACGTTCTGTGGTACAGAATACCCCTTTGGCTAGTTTGGGTCAGGTGTCCTGTCTCTGCTTCCTCCTGGCTTCTTGTGCCCCTCCTCACTGGCAGACTGTGGGAAACTTGTAAGTTCTTGACTTAGCAACTACTCAGCAGCAACTAAAATTATTAGTGTGTTATCAACATTATTCATAGACTAAAGCCAAAACACAGCACTGTGCCAGCTACCAGGAAGAAAATTAATTATCTCAGCTAAAAAAAAGACACGTGCACCTCAGAATGTGACTGCAGGTGCTCTCCTCACAGGTACTGCAGAAGTCACACTTGATGAGAATTGTTTCACGAAAGTACTGATAGACTGCTCTCTGAAACCACGCTCTAGTAACCTGCAGCATTTCTAGACTGACCGGCAACGGTCATAAAACCAGTGACAATCTGAATCCAAGATTTTCAAAACAGAATGGAGTGCAAACACTTGCTATTCCATCAACACTCCACAAAAGGACCAAAGTGGGTTAAACTTATTTCATTTTCCCTTCCACAGATATGCATATAAATATAATGGGATACCAGTGAGCGTACAGGACTAAAGTCTTTCAAATGTCTGGATTTAAAGGAAGCCTAATCCTACTGAAAATTTTATTTAAAATAAGTAATTATTTCCTGAACTGATACTAAAATGTTGATAACAGTCAGAAAAGACTGTGTAATATGCCATCTTCTAAGAGTGCTAAGTAGTGCTAGTATGCTTAGCCCAGGTGAAACTGTCATTACAACAGGTATTGCTAAAAATCTATGTAACAGAAGAGCACTGCATTCAAATGAACTATTATTTATTGTGACTGTTTGTGGTAAAAGTATGACTGCCTGTACTTACCAATGTACTTATAGGTTTTTCCAAGTTTTACCAGATGCGTCAGCGACTGTTCTACTATAGCAGCAGTCCACTGGTTGACTTTGTTGTGATTATAATCTGCCTTGCCTAAAACACCTTCTATGCACTAAAATAGAAAAAAAAAAAAAAGAAAAAAAAGTTGCAGTAAACATACTTCAAAATATAGAGGTTTAAATATCTTCCATAATCTGAGGAATTTTACCTGGCAATTAGATTACTTTAAATCAACTGAGCTGATCAAGTTGCTGAATGAGCCTTCTCGTAAACTTATTTTTAGTTCGTATCTACCACACTATTACGTGGAGAAGAATGAGGCTCTGACTGAACATTTCTTGTAGGAAAGACTTTAGCCATATGTTTTAACTACCAAGTGAATGGATTCATTTACCAGTGTAGATACTAACCCATTCCACTGTTCCCAGTGACCACCTATTCCATCTTGGCTTTCAGAAGCTACTGCAGTGGAAATGGTACTGCTCAAATCAGTAACGTCAGCTTGGGCTGACTAACCTTTCAGAGCTTGCAAGCATTATACCAGAATTTTAAGAGCAGGTGTGACAACAGTGAAATGCATACTCCAGCTTAAGAGATGAGGAGATACTAGAATGAGAGATACTCAGGGGTCGTATCTTGCAGCAAGAAATACCTTAACTGCTTAAAAACTGCACATTCTCCCATCACTACAGACTGGCCAACCCTTGCTTAAACTTAAAATGATTGAATAGAAAGCCTTTTTTCTAACTGTAACTCTTAAACTGCACTCTCTGCTCCTAAGAAATTCAGAATTATGTTCTTAAAATTGAGAAATTTGGTTAAGAAATGCATACCTCGAAAAGGTAAGAAAAATAAGCCTATGTTCTCCTCCGATTCAGTAAGATGAATCCCGTGCACTAACCACCCACTAACACGCTGTACAGGAGACTTGTGTCCCAGATCTTAAAAAACCCAATTAGCTCTGACCACACTGTATAAAACCGGACAAAGAACTCAATGGAAACAAATATTCACAGAATAGAAGACAGAAGAGGGACAAATAAGATCCATTGGGGATTTCGGTCCTTCCAGAAAGGTACCCACTGGCAGAGCTATTTGGGTCTGGTTAAGCTTTCCATCAGAGACAGAAACACTTGGCTTTACTCCCAGTGTCTGGAAACAATGTCACACCGTATTTGGCCTTTCAAGGCAGGAACAGTTATACAACAGGCTGAACTGTCATTTATCTGACATCAAAGAGCTTGCTGTTGTGTACTTAATCAGTTGTGAAAGTGCAGCCCTTTCTCTTCCTGACAGGTGGGAAAGGACCTGCAGAGCCTCTCTAGGAATTCCGTTCTCAAAATGGTATTTCCCTGAAAAACCTGACAGCATCTGTCTGGCACAGCCTCTTCATTAAGAAATTCACCATGGAGTGAATTTCCCTTGCAACCTGTGACAGCTGCCCCTAATCTTTCCACTGTAAAGTGGATTCTGTCTCTCTCTTCTCTCACCTGCCTTCTCCATTTTAGGTTGTTGAAGATAACAGTCAGATGAAGTTTAAAGCTCTATCTTTACTTGATATCAATAATACTTTAACATATGATTGAATTTATCTGGGATGGTCAAATAACTGCTTTCACTACGATGCAAAGTAAGGTAAAGAATTTCTTTGAAATACAGCTGTTAGCTAAAACCTACCTCCTTAACTATGTTGTGGGCCTCATCAGCATTGAAGATCATCTGTAATAAAAATTAATTATTATTGCTGATAGAAAAGTAAACAAATGATGCAGTTTTACTCTAAGTTACACTTAATGATCAGGCTCCTTGTCTGGTTTTTTGCATTGTGCAGTATGTTAGCATAATTCTAAAATCTTACTTTTTTCCCCCAGCACCATACATACATGTAGTATTGTTTTACTGGTCACATTTGAGGGGATCCAAAAAGCCTCGGGGCTCAGTAAGCTTGGAAACAGGTTCAGTTTACAGCTTCTGTAAAGATTAAATTCCACCACTGGGTACATGTGTCATGGGAATATTCTCCAAAACAAAAAGTTAAATGGCAAATCTTTTCCTCTGTCATGGATTTATTAACCTGTGTGTTACGTCTTGCTGCAAAATGGTAACCCAAGGTTTATCAGAAACATTGGTTTCCGTAGTCATTAGCTTATGCAAATAAACACAAACGCTTGCCAGTTTTAATACCACCTATTTTCTACTTGTTCTTACTCATCAGCATTTAGCTTGGCTTCCAAAGGAAACACAGAATGTGCCATTGTGCCATCTCCCTTCTCATCGCCACGAATTTCAAACACTTGAGCGCGGAGAGAATCCTCAAGGATGACAATGATGATAATAATATTTACATTAGTTGGAGAGTTGGTTTTTGTAGGTTTTGTTTGTTTGTTTGGGGTTTTGTTTGTTTGTTTTAATGAAAACTGATGGCTAGAGACCCGAAGTGAGGCCACTTGGAGACGGCAAGGCCCCTCAGTCCCGGCTGACAGGGATCAGCCTGCAGCACTGACCGGCCCCGGCACGGCTTAGGTTTTTTCCCAGGGCTGATACAAGAAAAACGGCAGCAGCCTGACATGCCCAGGGCGCGTGGCAGCACCTCCAAGCACCGCTCTCACGTCCCCATGCAGAAACTTTCAGCTCCCGGAATTGGAGGAGGCCGGTAGCAGCAGAGGCCGCAGACAGGCAGAGGGCCGCGCCAAGACTCGGCCTGCACCTTGAACCCCCGCTCTACCCGAAGCGGGCCCGCAGCCGCCGTACGGGCCCACGAGCACCCGAAGAGCAGGGAGCGGGAGGTCCTGGCGAACAGCCCACCTCCACAACTACAGCTCCCAACCTGCCAGGCTCTCAGTCAGGTTCCGCCTGCGACGTAAAAGCAGCGCGGGGCACGGAGCTGGTGGGCTGGCGGAGGGACCGCACCGCGCTTGGGCACAGCCCTCCGCCCCGTTGGAGGACGGCAACCCCTACCTCATCGTTGTGGGGGTGAAAATCCTCCATGGCCCCGGTGCCGGCGTCAACTGTTCCGGAAGCGGCTGTGGCTACGAGTCGTGCGCGACTCCGCCTCCGCTGGGCAGTGCAGGGCAGGGCTAGGCGGGGCCTCCTGCGGCAGCAGCCGCCAGGCACCGGGGGATGCCTGCGTTGGAGTAGAGAGGGCCGGGCGTTCCTGGGACCGCGGGTACCTGGAGGTGGCCGGGCCGAGCCGAACTCAGCTCGAGAGCAGTGACTGCCCGCCCTCAGAGTCCAGCAGGGCCGGCGAGGCGGCTGCTGCGCGGCCTCCCGGCGCGACCCCCGCGGGCGATGCTGCCTTCGGTGGCGTTTGGCAGCTGAGGGCAGTGTCGGGGCAGCCCCGTACCCGGTACTGCCGCCCCGTGTTCGCGGTCCCACGTAAGGTGTTCGTTTGTAACTTCATTGCTCTAGCCTTGCCCTTTGCTGGGCATACAGAATTCATAGCACTGAGATGATCTCCCCAGGGAAGTGATGGATTCCCTAATGTTGGACACTTAAAAGATCTGGCTGGATAGGGTGCTGGGACATGTAATCTAGGACATGTTTTACCCAGAAAGGCTGGACCAGATGAGAGTTTAGGTCCCTTCCAGCCTGGTATTCTGTGGTTCTATGATACAGGAGCAGTTCCTCCAGAAGAGCTGTAATACCTCTGCTCCCCCCCCCCCCCCCCCCCCCGTTTCTGAACCAATCTTTGCCAATTATCTGTCACAAAATTGCCATTAGATTTTAATATTATCAAATAGCAATTTCAGGTTCTTCTAATTCCACTATACTATAAAGATCCTGAGTTTAATTTGATTCAATACATACATACATACATATATATATATATATACACACATCAAATCTTTATTCTCTTTCTGAAGTTGCCTGGGAAACTGGGAAAACACCTAGTGCAAAACAGCACAGAATTTTCAAATGGTGGGTTTGTTTCTATTTAGTTTAGGGAAGGGCTCGTGTAGACTTCCCCCCACCCCACACCCCGTTATACCTGATAACCAATCTAAACCAGACTGAACACGAGAGAAAGGACCAAGGCTGCCCCACCTCTAGTTCCTGCTTTGGTGGCATGTGTTCGGACAGATGCACACTTAACTCACAAAAGCGTCTCTTGCTCAGTCCTAATTATACGCTCATGGGAAACACTTTGTATGAAAACCATGAAAATACAGGGGGAAGCAAAGCTAAACCCTTTAATACTTCATTGCTCTCAAACTAGCTTTCATATTTAACATTTGCTGATGGCTATAATAGGAGAAGACAGAACTTGAAGGCTAAACCTCTTTAAGAGCAGCTCTTTGTGAGCAAGTGCAGACATACGTAGTCATAAGAAAATACGTGAAACAAAATCTCCTTCAGTATAAGTTTCTTTGTGTTGTGACCTCTGAGGTATTTTCACATTCTAAACTAGTGATAAAATTGCATGCTTACTTTTAAAGAAATAAAAGTTAGTGGAAGCATGAGTTGCATATGCTTCGGTATCCTGTAGGGAAAGCTAACGGTGCTAAAATAACCCTTGAATCCTGAGCATTTTTTATTCTCTATTTTCAGCAATCATCTTTAGAGCTGTATCTCTGAATGCAGTATACTACGAAATGAAAATGGTTTCTACAGTATTCTTCAGTTCTGCTAGAAATATTCAAAGAAATGCATTCTTTGAAAGATTAGAAACAATTATCTCAGTAAAATACATGGAAAATAGAGAGGGTTCTTGAATAACTGATAAGTTTGTGTGTGTTTAGCTCGTAATGCAAAAAAGTTATTTACCTTTCCTCCTCCAAAACCCTTTACAGACAAGAGGATAGCAAGAGGTCTGAGGAAATTCTGAGTCCATCAGTCTCAGCTCAACATCCAGAGAGCCATTAGAAAAGTAATAAAATGACAATACAGGAAGCATTTACACATATAAACCTAGCATCACTCGTGAACAGCCAACACAGATTTGTCAAGAGTCATGTCAATCTGATTTTATTCTTTGTTAGCACAGCTGGTTTAATGAATGAAAAGGAAATATATGTATATTATATATATGTAATATACATAATATATATAATAGTAGGTATGTTATTTTGTAGTAAATTTGTGGTTTTATGCTCTCCCACATAAGAATGTATCATCTAGGGAAAAGGTAACCAACCATGCCTAACAAAGGGTTATCAAAATAGGAAGAATAAATGCAACATGTGGTGGGTTTTGCCCCAAGTGCTCATCAGTATTAGCTGCAATAACTCGAATCATGGAATAAAAATGGTGCTTATGAGAGCTTTTTAATGACAGCATGTTTAAAGAAGTTATGAGCACACTGAATGACAGGATCAAAATTAAAGATACTGAATAGGTTGGAGAAAGCAACAAAAGGAAATTTTATAAAAAATATAAAGTGCTGTCTCTAAAACCAGGACATCAAATGCAAAGATACAAAATGGGGACTAATTGTCTAGGCAGTAGTGCTGCAGAAAAGAAAACACAACAAAAAGGAACCCAAGTATGATGTTGTAAATGACAAAGTACATCAAAGAATACTGTTAAGGTCAGGGAAGGCAATTATATTCTGCTGCTTGGTCTTGATCAGGCATTGAATGTAACTCAGCCCAGTGTGATGGCAGGACGCAGACAGAAAAGTAATTCTTTACCAAAGCAGCAAGAGCAAAAGGAAGCTTGGAAAATATGATTTGTGGAGGAACTGCATTTGGTTTATATCCCTTGCTACAAGTCTTCCTTGTAGATGTTCTGATTTCATAGCAATTTACTGAAAAAGGTGGTGAATGGGCCAAGGTATGATGAAAGGCAGGACAAGAAATAATGGCTTTAATTTGAACCCAGTGAGATTTATGTTAAATATTAGGAAAAAAAAAAAAATCCAGGTAGAAAAGTAATAAAGCACTGAACCAGACCCAGTTTTGGAATCACTTTCACTGGATCAATAACACATTAGATAACATCTTTCAGGCATCTAGGTAACCTTTAGAAAGGAGGAGGTATTAAATCATCTTTTGAGATAGTATTAGTTTTATTCAGCTTTCACATTTATTGAGTGGTTATTTTCTGTTCTTTCCTAAAGTAATTTTTTCTCTAATTCTTATAACCAAAATCACCAATATTTTTCCTTTTTTTTTTTTTCCCCACTGAAAATGACTAATGCTATTACTATCTTCACTAGAGCAATACTATATTGTAACAAGGAGCCAGTACACTTGGCAACATTGGTTAATTCTTTATTACTCTACTACTAATTATAAACTGGAAAATGCAAATGGGTTGGCAGTATAATTAGTTCTGTGAACTCTAATAAATGCAAAAGTGCTGAAAGAGGTGGCTCAGAAATACAACCCTCCATTTGAACAAGCTCTAAGCTTTCATCTTTCAAATGCAGAACAGGAGCGCTTAAAAATACAGAGAATAAATACAGCAATTCAAATCACTTGTTGATTAAAACCCAAATATTTGAGAAGGATTTGTCACACTGGAGAGGGGGCAGGCAGTGCAGATCCTCCGCTGCTTGAGCACAGCCAGTAAAAGATGTGAATACTAATACAGCTGAAATAGTATGTCTCGTGTCTCAATTTTTCCTTTAAATTGTTATAAACATTTTAAACCCTAGAGTCTACCTTAAACTGTTGAATACAAAATCAGTAAAATTCTGTATTTAATTTTTCTGACTTAATTCCTAAGCTATGTGAAGGAGGGATCAGCATGTGTTGCTCTTGTTCTTGCTCTCTTCCTACACACTCACTGCTTGGTATCAAAGGGAGCAGATCGGAGGATTAGATGGACTCTCAACCTAATTATTATGTCAGATTTGTGTTGGCCAGATTGGGTACTCTTCGCCTTATCAGAGGTTTTAATGATTTACTTTTCTGACTTTTTGGTTTCTGAGAGTTGTTTTAACGTTGACTGCAATGACTTGCTACAACTTGTTTGAAGACCTAAATGCCCACTCAACAATTGCTTTAAAAATGCACAGTGAATTGTCAGAGACATTGCTGTTTTCATAGCTACAAATGGTCTGCCAAAGCAGGTTCTGTATTTCTGGAGTCATCA